CTCGTTCAAACTGACGTCCGGGATATCATCTGAATAATGTCGGATAAGACTTGCTCTTGGATCGTTACACTTGCGTGTGGCTCCAACGATGATGTGTACATCTGCCCATAGAACCTCTCAATCTCACTCAAAATCTCTGGTGTTCCGGAAATGACGCTGCCACACTCGGTCTTTAGCTTCGACAGTTGGCTCTTTCTTGCAGACAGATCTCTAACAAAGACTTTGGAGTCCTGGTTCCGCTCGATCGCTTCTTCAATACGAGCAGTATTAAAGTTACGTAAGTCCCGCCGTATGCATTTGGAGATCTGTCTGTTCAGTTGCCTGTATGCTGTCAAATCTACTGAAGACTGCAGCTTCATATCCCGTCTAACGGCCATGAGATTTAGAGTGTGATCGGAGAGTTTTTGTGTTCTTCTGCGGAGGGTCTTGCAGAACTTAGCTCCGACTGCATGGATAGTTTCCACGAGCTTGTCATTCATATCGTCCACTTCATTGCAGTCTTCTAGGTACTGAAAACGGTTCTGTAACTCAAGCTGAAAGGTTTCGGGACTTTGGAATAGAGCACGAGGGGAACGGAGTGTTGACTTCATTAGACAGGACCTCTCCAACTTAACGTTTAGTTTCAGGTTTAGGCTCGCGATCACGGAGACATCACTGAACAGTTGTCGTCTGGTCGTCATAATGAAGTCAATCTCATTTTTTGTCGAACCGTCGGGGCTCGACCAAGTCCACTTCCTGTGGGGCCGCTTCTGGAAGAAAGAGTTCATCTTAAATAGTCCCTCTTTCTCCATGAGGTCGGCCAGCTGCTGGCCCCTTGGGTTCCCTGTCCCTATTCCGAATTTCCCAAATTTCAGCTCAGTGTTCTCTTTTGTGTCTAGTTTTGCATTGAAGTCTCCCATTAACACCGTATAGTGGGTTTTGGAGGATTGCATGGCTCTAGAGATATCCTTATACATTTACTCCACCTCCTCATCGGGATGTGCCGAGGTTGGTGCGTAAACCTGTATGACCTTCAGCGAATACCGTTTGGTGATTCTGAGTATAAGGTACGCAACCCTCGTCGACACACTCTCAATCTTTACAACGTTGTTAATGAGAGACTTCTGGACGATAAATCCGACACCTCCTTGGGACATATGGTCGCCCTCCCGGTGATTTGCCGGATTCAAGGATTACCGTGTCCTCCCCCTCTCTTCGGACCTCGGATAATCCTATATTCCAGCGTAACTTGTCTATCTCTTCTTCCAGCTCCAGGATCTTCTCGTCAGTCCTCATGGTGCTTGCGTTATAAGTTGCCAGGTCGAGTCGTCGTAGGTGGCAACCGAACCTCCACCAGAGATTCTTAGCACTCCCTGCCCCGCCGTTACCATGGTCGCCACCGTAGCCAGAAATAGCGGGGCTGTCGGGGACTGGGGGCCGTCTCTTCGTTACTCTCATGGGGGTTATATTGCCGTAGTTACCACGCTTGGCTTGACTTGGTTGGCAACCGCAGTTTTTTTTTATTGTTTTGCTATTATCAGAAAGATGCTGCTGACCAACCTCTGCCTCAGTTTCCCTCTGTCGCCTCTTACGACACTCACAGGAAGATACGGGGTAGTGAGTATTCTTTCCCGCCACAACACGGGAATTGGATATTCTGTTAAAAATTACCTGGGCGAAAACTTTGTAGATATTTGATATTAGGCTAATAGGTCTATAGTTATTTATATTACTCATATCTCCTTCCTTGTGTAGCAGTATCAGTTGATGTTGTCCACTGATCAGGTATTATCTCGCTCTGCAATACTTCATTAAACGTAAGGATATTGTGAGCCTCTCTGTTGAGCGAACTGTAGAAATGGCTTATGTGGAGCTCGAGCACCTCATTGTTGTAAGTGTTTACAGATCCCCATGTGCTACTTATGACTATTTTGAAGGGATTTTGGAAGAAGTTTTGCTCAAACTTAGTAAACAGAACAAGTCTGTTGTAATATGTGGAGACTTTATCACAAATCTCCTTGAAACTTCTTCCATTAGTATTAAGTTTAGCTTATTGTTTAAATCGTATATGTAATGTAATGGGCGACAGTAGGAATTTATAAAAGTAGGTGAAGGTTATACGAGCTTTATGATGAAAGATCATATAATAGTAGTGTTATATTTAGAGATTATGTAAAAACATATTCTAAAATGTTTAAAAAAGTGTGCTTCACTGCAAAGGCTTTACATTTAAGCAACAAAATTAAAACTGCACCCGACAAAATTAAAATGACCTGGAGAATAATAAATAGTGAAACGGGCAAGGTCAAACCGCGCAACTCGGATTTTCAATTGAATATTAACAATAATTTAACGCGATCTGATCAAGAATTTGCTATGGCTTTTGAAAAACATTTTACTGATGTTCCTTTTTTTGACAAAATCATTAAATTCTTCTGCTACTGTCGCCGAATCATTGCTCAAACAAAATGTAAAGGCTTGTTCAAATACTTTTGAATTCCATAGAGTACTGCCAAAAGATATCGTCAATTTTAAACCTATTGATGTTAAGAAAACGGCAGACTTATGGGGGATTTCCGTTAAAGTATTTCATATATAATAGATATAGGTGATAGCACCTTATCTAGCCACTATATTTAATACAAGCGTCGAATCTGGTGTGTTTTCTGATTTAATGAAACATAGTAAAGTCATACCTATATTTAAATCTGGTAGTACATTAGACCCCGCCAATTTTAGACCAATTTCTGTACTACCAATATTTAGTAAAAGTGTTGAAAAAATTATTTTAGATCAGATGTTAACTTTCTTTAATATTAATAAATTGCTACATAAAAATCAATTCGGTTTTACAAGGGGTCACTTGACAACTGACGCTGGAGTTGAGCTTGTTAAACATATTTTTTGTGTATGGGAGAATTCAGAGGATGCTTTGGGTATATTTTGTGACCTTTCCAAGGCCTTCGACTGTGTTCACCATGAGACTTTAATCAGGAAGCTACAGTACTATGGTGTCAAGAACACAGCGCTTAAACTTATTATTTCATATTTAAGTAATAGAAAGCAGAAGGTTATTATTGGCAAAAGTTCTTCCAGGTCACCTGTACTAATGGGTGTCCCTCAGGGCTCGATTCTCGGCCCATTCCTGTTTCTGGTGTATATTAATGACTTACCTTCCCTTGTAGGGGATAATCATGCTATAGTATTATTTGCTTCCTTGATTTTTAAACTTAAACGTCAATCATTTAAATGTGACGAAGTGAATAATGCTATATCAAAATTAGTCCATTGTTTTAACGTTAATAATCTACATTTGAACGGAGATAAAACTAATTGTGTTAAATTTACAACAACGAATGTTAAAAATCTGAATATTAATGTGTTTTTATATGGGGAGGAACTGAGCCCTGTTGTATCCACTGTTTTCTTGGCATCACTCTCGACGCAAAGCTTCAGTGGGGCCCCCATAAATCCAAATTAGCAAGCAGACTAAGTTCTGCAGCCTATGCTGTAAAAAAGATTAAAGGTCTCACTAGAGTCGAGACAGCTAGATTAGTTTATTTCAGTTATTTACATAGCATAATGTCTTATGGGATTTTGCTATGGGGAAATGCGGCTGATTCAGAAACTATTTTTGTTTTACAGAAGAGGGTCATTAGAGCTATTTACAATCTAAAACCGAGAGAGTCTCTTAGAGATAAATTTAAAGAAATTAATATTATAACTTTGGCATCTCAGTATATTTACGAAAATTTAATGTATGTTTACAAAAACAAAGGTAGTTTTAGTAAAAAAAGAGATATACATTCTGTAAACACTAGGAACAAATACAAGCTAGTGATACCAGTTTCTCGACTCCACAGAGTCAGTAATTCATTCTTGGAGCAATGTATACGCTTTTACGACAAAGTCCCGGAAAGTGTACAGGCTCTCTCTATTACCAAGTTTAAATCTTTTGTTAAGGTGAAACTGTATAAAAAGGGTTATAATAGTATAAATACATGGTGTATAATAACCCCTGGGAATGAGGTGGTCCAAGCAGTTTCTAAAATAAATTTTGTAAATAGTTTGTAGTTATGTATATTATAAAATTTATTTAAAAAAATAAAGTCCCGCTCGGTTTCTTGCTGGTTCTTCCCAGGACAGAGGGTTTTTTTCGAAACAGTGGTAAAGTAAAAAATTACTTACAATAAGAATTACACATGTAATGTATATTGAATAAAAAATTATTCTATTCTTAAATAAATAAGTCAGAACTTATAAAAGGTGATCTTTAATTTCGATAAAAATTCGTTACTGATTCCATCTGAACCGGGAAATTTATCTTTATTCTGACTTTTTATAGCTCTTTCCTCTTCTGTAGGTATTATATCTAGTACTTCCCCACTTGCTAGGTCTGTTGTTTGACTGTTGTGTTTATTTGCATACAACTCTCGGAAAAAGTCGGTGGCTTTTGAGATAATTTCGGTGCGTCTGGTTTCACAGTTGCAGTTAATATCTGTGAATTTAGGCATCAATTTATTCCCTCAATTTTTTGAATGATATTTGGTACCTCTCGTCTTCTGAATACAACTTTCTGGTACTCCTGACCTGTGTCTTTGGCAGTCTCTTCTCATGTTAGATTTGACTTTCTTACTTAACTCGGCTATATCTGACCTTGATTCTTTTGTTTTTTGAGCCATTGATATTACTACGGCTATTTTAAATTGGCCGTACTCTTAATTGGTCAATGTTATTAAAAAAATATAACTTTACCATGTTGATGTGTGCTACATATAAAGCTTACATTATTTAAATGTCTGTTTATAAAACAAAACATTATTTTAATAACTAATATTTATGTGTAAGAGGAAATTATTGAATAAGTGGATCCATGTGTAATTACAAGTATTTTCAGTTGATTATACTTTTATCTCTGTATAACTATTTTTGGAGTAACAATTATGTGTGTGACATGAGATATTGTCATGCTACACTTGTATCAAACTTGTATACAGGTATTGCTCTAATAAAATTTGCAGACTGTACATTATCTTCAGGACACTGAATGTAAAAATCAATCAGAACAATCTATACAGAAATTTCTAGAAGCAATAAAAAAATTCAAACTAACAAAAATGGAAAAATTGATGATGGTAAATACTCCTCCAAGAACAGAATTAGAAATACAATTGGTGAGTTCATGTTTATTTTATATGACAATTACAATTTATAATATTATTATAATACTAATAATATGATATGATACTATATCTATGATTTTGTAGTGGCGATGTAAGAATATCCACTACCCCATATTGTCCCACAAACCATGAGATGGGCAGTAGTGTCTTCCTAATAACAACTAAAAATAAAAAATAAACTGTCGTCGTCAACCAGCTGCTAAGTGTTAAAGTAAAACCAACTTACTTATAGGCTTGCAATACCAGATGTTTCAAACCTTTGATGCTACTCTCTCCGTCGTCAGTCTGTGCATTAAACATGATGTGACATAAACTAGGTGCTTGCAACTGTCAGAGTCATTTTGTGTTAGCATAATATATTATGTGAAATACTTAAGTACTACCTGTGTTGTAAGTTAAATTCCAAGCATTGATTCTTTTGTTCACAACAGCCAATGTTGTGTAATATAATAATAATAATAATTAATCCGTTATTACTTTCTGGTGAGATCGGGTGATCCATTCTATAGGGACGTCATTTCGTGTGATAAAGGGCTCACTCCTCTATCCTTAGCCAACGAGCAATGGCAAGACCCAGCAGTACAGTGCATTTCCGACCAGGAGACCGTATGGAAGGAGAAGGAGCTCCACGGGAAGTTCTACAAGGCTCTACATGAGCCTTTCGTAGACACAGTCGCCTCCCTTCACTGGCTACGTCTCGGTGACCTCTTTGGGGAAACCAAGGGTTTTGTCTGTGCGATACAGGATCAGGTTATTAAGACCAACAATTATCGGAGATACATCCTAAAGGATGGCGCCGTCCACATCTGTCGAGCTTGTCGCCATCCCGGTGAGTCGCTTAGGCATGTCATCTCCGGTTGTTCGGCGCTTTCTAACTCTGAGTATTTGCACAGACACAATCTAGTAGCCAAAATTCTACACCAGGAGCTCGCTCTGAAATACGGGCTCGTGGATCGGAAACTGCCGTATTATAAGTACTTGCCGGAAGCCGTGCTCGAAAATGACCGCGCCAGGCTCTACTGGGACCGGGCCATCATCACAGACAGGACTATTCTTGCGAATAAGCCTGATATTGTGCTGATGGATCGGGCACAGTCAAGGATCTTTTTGGTCGACATTACCATTCCTTATGATGAGAACCTCGTGAAAGCCGAAACAGATAAGCTGACAAAATATCTGGACCTGGCTCACGAGGTTACCGACATGTGGGGTGGTCTGACGACCGAAATTATTCCTGTGGTCGTTTCTGCGAACGGGTTAATCTCAGTCAGCCTCTCGGGTCATCTGAGGCGACTGGGACTCCGTGACGGACCGCTCCAGGCTTAAATGCAAAAGGCGGTGCTCCTCGATACCGCCCGCATCGTCCGCCGATTTCTTTCCCTTTCCCCCTAACCCTCGGCCGTCTGGTCTCCCCTGCCGAGGGCTTCCATCTGGTTGGGTTTTTATATATTTATGTATTTTTTATGTATTTATTTTATTTTATTGATATTTATGTATGTTTACCATTTTCATTTACAATTATATATTTATACTGCCCAACCAGATGAGAAAACTTTATAGATACCCCAAAATAATAATAATAATAATAACAATATGACTGTGACTGTGACTGTGATAATAATAATAACAGTATGAGCATGTACCATGTATATAAAAGGATTTAAGTGGTGTGTGTGTGTGTGTGTGTGTGTGTGTGTGTGTGAGTGTGTGTGTGTGTGCGCGCGCGCGCGCTTGCGTGCGTACGTGAGCGCGTGCGTGCGTGCGTGCGTGCGTTCGTGTGTGTGTGTGTGTGTGTGTGTGTGTGTGTGTGCGTGCGTATGCATGTTAGTGTGTGTATTCGTGTGCATGTGCGTGCGCGCGCGCACGTGCGTATCTAGTTTACTTTGTCTAGGAAAGCTTCTGTTTCCTCATAGTTTTTCGTTCTTAACCGGTTTTGCCAAAGCCTTTTGCTTCAAAGTATGTTTTACCATATATATTTAGGTATTTGTTAATACTTTTATAAAGTAGTGTTTGATTTCGGGACATCTATTATTATCTGTCTTCTTTTTGTAGCCTTAATGTGTTCATATATTATAGTTTTATGATTTTTGAGGACGGTTTATAATATATACAGTTTCCTAACTGAAAGGAGTCGACTATTTTGGTATAGTTTCTCAGTCGAGAACATTCGCTCTTTATGAGGCTGCGCTGAGCTCGTTCAAGCTCAAGGAAGCGTGTCTTAGCAGCTCTACCCCATATAGATATGCAGTATATAAGTATTGACTGTATCAGATATATATAAATATCCTTGAGAAGACTTCTATTCATATCTCCTGGCTTTGTATCTGCTCTTGGCATTACATGTCGCAATGTCTTGAAAATCCATGTAAGTTTTCTTATTCTTTGCGTGACATGTTCAAGATGTGTGTACCAAGAGAGTCTTTGGTCTAATAATACACCCAAGTATTTAAATATATAAGGTAGTCAATTAAGTGTCTATTTGCTGTCAGTGTTAAAGTCTCTGTTGTTGCATTCATTATATTCAGCAACTTCTCTAGTCTCGGGTTTACTTCAATTCTGATTGGTATTGCTTACTTTTTTTTATAGGAGAGAGGGCAAACGAGCATGCGGCTCACCTGATGGTAAGTGACTACCGCCGCCCATGAACAACTGCAACACCAGGAAGGGAATTGCAGATGCGTTGCCGGCCTTTTAAAAAGGAGTAGGCTCTTTTCTTGAAGGTCCCTAAGTCGTATCGGTCCGGAAAAATCGCTGATGGTAATTGATTTCACAAGTAAGTTGTGCGAGGAAGAAAACATCTTCTAAAACGCACAGTGGTGGACCGCCAATCATCCAGATGGTGTGGATGGTATCGGGAGTTCTGCCGCGATATGCGTTCGTGAAATTTGGCGGCTGGGATTAATCCGAACAATTCCTCAGAGCACTCCCCGTGGTAGATGCGAAAGAAAATGCAAAGGGATTATTGATTACTACGGTTATTAAGTTTGAATTTATGATATTCACCATAACATCTTTCTTAAATGAAATGTAAGTTTGTACATAATATGAAGGATCATTTTTGCTTAATTTTTCCATTCCAGATTGTCCAAGAAAGTGAAGAAAGGCTTTCAGAGGAAGATGTTAGAAGCATCATAGACATAGTCAATGAAATCTTTCCAGCCATTGCTACGTGATGTTAAAACGGCTTATATTGTTTATGTAATGATTTAATTATGTTATATCTATATAAATAAAATTGTATATGTTTGTTTATTTTGAAATTTTGACACAGTGTGTGTTTTTATTTCAGTTTTGACAAACTTACCGCCATGTACAGCTGGTTTTAAATAAAAGGAATTGAACTTACTTTATTATATATGTTCAAATTTTTGTGCTAGCAACAAAAACAAAGAGGCAGTTGTTTGATCACATCCCACAGAAGTAACAACTGTGGGAGTAGACTTGTTATGAAATGGACACTGCGCTTCGAGGCAAACGTAATGTAGAATGCCCCCTGGCTAGATGAAGCGACAATTTGTGCACGGTGGCTAATAACAACTCGATGACGTGAAACTAAAGTCCCATGTCCAATAGTGTAAGGATGGTGATAACGATTGTATAACTTGCACCCATGTTTTGTAATCTCAACATATAAAAAATAATTGTTGTCTGTTAGTCTCGCTAAAACTCGAAAATGGTCAACTCAACTGATGTTGATGAAATTTTTTGTGTGTGAATTTTTTTTGTAGAATAAGGGTGACAAACTAGCACACAGTCCACCTGATGGTAAGTGGTTGCTGTGGCTCATAGACATCTACATCTATCTTCGATTAAGAATCAAAATGCAGATGCGTTGTCACCCGTGAGGACTAAGGTGGGATGCCTCTTTGCCAGTAAAAATGGTCTCCGGTTCTCTACACTCACCATACGAAACACAGCAGCATTACGCTGCTATTTTACGCTGGTATTCTGTGAGAGCGTGGTCCTTCCGCGGTCGAGCGAACCATTCGTGCTACAACCATAATATAGCTGCAGCATGGCTCTACCACGTATAAAATATGGTTTAGATTCACAATTGGACCCAGTAGGTGGTGCTGTTGTTGAGATCCTGAAAAAGTAGATTTTTTTTTAGAAAATTGCATTTACGTGATATAGGAATAATACAAGTGATTTTATCGCGTATATTAACTTATTTTATATTCCCGACGTTTCTAATTTGGAGGTAGCCGTGGTTAACTATGACATTGGGTCGTCATACACCTCAGTCTCACCCCGGGGACCATGGGTGCTGGAAAGTGCTCGAAACGTCGGTAATGTAAAATAAGTTAATATACGCGATAAAATCCGTAAAATTAGTTTTATTTAAATGTGTAGTGTTCGCGTAAATATAAGAAATCATTATTACTACATAAATTTGCTCAATAAGTTTTTCTTCACCACGGCCAAAAATATATATACAGTAAAACATGGTTAAGTGGGACCTCGACAAGTGAGAAACCTCCATAGCTGGAACTCATGCTTAGGTCCCGACACTAGCTTTGAATTACTTCTGTTAGTGGGACAAAACAAACCTCTATATCTGGGATTAGTTCTTTCGATTTTATCTTCATAATTACCTCTATAATTGAGACAGCGAGTGTATTTTACCTCTTTTACTAAGACTATATCTTAGGGATTAGTTCTTTCGATTTTATTCGTCATAATTACCTCTATAATTGAGACAGCAAGTATATTTTACCTCTTTTACTAAGACTATTTTGTGTACCGTTTTGTTTACTAATTCTTATTCTACCTGCAAATTCGGCACTTTGCTAATTGTGTAAATGTGACCTCCAGTTTTAGTTTAGTTTTGTTATCGTCCGGATGTTTGTTTCAAAGGTGTTAAAACTTTGCCTGTGAATTACCAAAATAATCAAAAAGATTGGATGACATCTACTATTTTTGCCGATTGGATGAAGAATTTGAATCAAGTAATGAAGTCCCAGAAACGAAAAATTTTGATGTTTGTTAACAATTGTACAGCTCACAATAATATGATCAATCTAAATTTATAACATTGAAAAACATCTTACAGCTGATACTTCCAAAAAACAAACTGTAAATTATTAAGAATAACTCTAAAACTATTGGTCAGACCTTGATCAAAACTGAAATAACCTCTATTCTCACCTCTATTAATGGCACCCTCTGTAAATGAGACAGGTATTTATTTATACCTGGATATCTGAGACACTAAGTGGAATCCCTCTTTAAGTGAGACTTTGCAGGTCCCTTAAGGTCGCAGTTATCCAGGTTTCACTGAATTGTTTCTACGCCACGGTGTACTTGGGTAAATCAGTAGGTACTTACTTGAAATTTTAATTAACTATTTCAGTGATTATCTGAATCTAATGATTTCTTTCTATAAACTTAATATAATAATAAATAACTTTGAATTACACTTTGACAAGACTTATTTCCCGCGTAGGAGCGCTATTATTTATTTTATTCTGTGGTAGGAGTTCGTTTGGGTCAAAGGAGTTTTGGCGCGAACTTGACCGGCGGCGGTTTGCTTCTCCTGTATTATTGTTTAAATAATGGTTTGTAGTGGATTTTGATATGTAAAGTGGTGCGATTAAGTGTATGCGTATGTGAACTATAAGTGGAAACGGTGAAACAAGTGCTCTGATGGTGATAAGGTGTCGTGACTGCTTAGGCGCCTTGAGATACCATCGCCAACTGTCAGCTGTCTGTTGGCTCAAGTTGCCGTCAAAATCTCCCAAAGGTGACGCATGATGACGTCGCATGACATGTGACACATCAACATATTGTGAAGCAGTGTACTATGAAGGATAATTATACATTATAACTTCAGGCTCCAGAAGGGCTCGATATACTTAACCCAGAGCCGTAAAGCCAGTTATAAAAAAATGGGTCAAAGATGTTAGGGTAGGTTTTTAACTGTTGTCTTTCATTCTGAAGGACATAGAGAGACAGTATAATTAGAAGGCTGAGAAGCATTCCATCTAATTCTTCAGAGATGACGATACATTTATTGTAGTCTTTTTTTTTCAACTCGGTTGCAGTTGTTCATAGGCTACAGTAACCACTTAAAATTAGGTTAACGATAAATTCGTTTATCACTTTCAATAAAATGTAAAAAAGGTCTTGGCTCGCTCTGTACGATTCAAAGTTCAAGGTTGACTACTCTGACTATGATTGCTAATATAATATGACGAAACGCGCTTTGCGATTAGTTACGCACGATAGTTGTATATTATCTATCGTTATCTTTCTTTTTTTTAAATCGTATGTAGGTTTCTGTAACAGTAATGTCACAGAATAAAAAATTGTACTACGTAGTGATGCTCTGTGCGTAATAATAGCTGACGCCATATTATGTAAGTTTATTAGGTTAATAATGCGGCCATAATTTTCGTAATTTGAAAGTCCAGGATGTAGTTACGTAAAATATGAATATTTTGTATAATATAGTCTGTGGGTTTTTAGAGTTCGTTGACTTTAATTTTATGTGTTAGGTTATATTATTGGTTTCTTGTGGTTCCTGTTAGCATTCCTTACTTGAAAATAAGTCAGTTACCACGGCGATCGTTTCATGTTAACAAGTCAAAAGTTACCGCCTGTGAAGGATGTACTATATACTAAAGAATATACTATAGTACCAGATTATACTGAACAGTTTATAGTATATGTCCGGAACTACGAGTATATTACCTATGCGGTGATACATGACTTATACACGGTTTCTGAAGTTCTCAGTTATATTCCTATTAGTTATTGATTAATTAAAGTTATATAATATAGGATAGACGTCGGTTAACTGTTGTTGCGTTTCTGAATACACAACGAATCATTCAAAACTATGAAACCAATAACAAACTCCGTATTTTGCTGCTAGATGGGTCTATTCAAGAGATCGAAATTATAATTGATTTTATTATTTCAATTCTTAACTAGGTAATACTACTTACTAATATTACTAGTAACTACTACCAATACTACTAGTAACTAATAAGTAATAATACTAGTTTTATTTATTTGATAATATATATTGTCATGTCTAAATAAGTGAATAAAGACTGTTTTAGTAATAAATTATGATAATTCCATATTTATCAGCCACTGTATTTGAACGACATCATTGTCAAATTTAAATAAAAATGCGTGAGTGTCGTGGAACACTCAGTTGGAACGAAGTTCCTTGCGTAGTATATTATTATTGATAAACGTAGGTATTATAGTATTGATCCTGAGTCAAAGCAAGAGTCCATGAAGTGGCATAAAAAGGCGCAGCACCGCCTTCTTAGTTCAAGGTGTCACCAATCGGTTGGAAAGACTATGGCTTCAGTTTTTTGGGAATTAGAGGGGTTTTTATTGATCGATTATAAAGATATAGACGTCGATATCACGGGACAGTATTACGCTACGAAACTAACTATAATAACTATATATATTATAGAGAAATTAAAAGATGCGATTAAAGAAAAAAGGAGGGGAAAGTAGTTACGAGGTGTGCTCCTTTTGCACGACTACGCACTAGTTCACAAGAGGCATGTTGCGATGGCCTCCTTACACAAGGGCAATCAAAACTAAACCACCAAGGCTTCGAAACTTTTAATCACCCACCCTATGGTCCAGTTAGGCCCCTTCGGATTACTATTTGTTTCCAAACGATGGCCTCCTTACACAAGGGCAATCAAAACTAAACCACCAAGGCTTCGAAACTTTTAATCACCCACCCTATGGTCCAGTTAGGCCCCTTCGGATTACTATTTGTTTCCAAATATAAAAAAAAGAGCTTCGGGGAAAGAAATTTACAGATGACAAAGAAGTGAAGTTGGCAATTTGTGCTTATTTTGAGGGCCTTGACAAAACATTTTTTTCGAAGGTAGGTATAAGTTATTTGAACGGTCTGAGAAGGGTTAATGAAGAATATAATATCCAAAAGGAAAAAAAAACGTGTTTTATTTCATCCCCTTTCTCTTTTATTCCGCGAACTATTTGACCTACCCTCGTACTCTTATATACAGGCATTTCGTGTTGTTTCCCCCGTTCACCTTCTATCATTAGTTTTCAAAACGAATGGTAAAATTCCATCCTCTTGCGACTGAAGTTCAACGAACTCGAACATTTTGTCAATAATTGAGTTTCAAGTTTTCTTCTTCTTCTTTAGTTTCAAGTTTTATTTATTTGCACATCGTGATTCTTTGCCGCTGTCAGTTTCGCCAGATCTATACGATCATAGTTTTCTCAAGAGTGAATAGACTCTTCTCTTAGATTGTTTTTTCTTAATAACTGGCTTTACGGCTCTGGGATATAGCCCTTCTGAGCCTGAAGTTACAATATTTATTATAATAATTATCCTTCATAGTATACTGCTTCACAATATGTTGATGCGTCACATTGTGCAGCCCTTGGGAGATTTTGACGGCAACTTGAGCCAGCAAACAGCTGACGGTTGGCGATGGTATCTCAAGGCGCCTAAGCAGACAGGCACCTTATTTTGAGAATCACATCACTATGAGAGCACTTGTTTCACAGTTTCAAATAATATTTCACATGCACAGATATTTAATACACAAAAAAGCACCACTTTTACATATCAAAGTCCACTTCAAACCATTATTTAAACAATAAAACAGGAGCAACAAACCGCCGCCGGTCAAGTTCCCGCCAAAACCTCTTCTCTTAGACTATCGTGATCACCACAGATCATAAAGTGACCACCATCTTGGATCACAGGGTCACTTAACATCAGTAAGTTGACGATTAAACGTTGCCTAATATGATAATGGAATAACTAAGTACCTATATCGAATTTCTTCTCTTTTCTCGTCCGCTCCCTCAAACATTGCATGAATATCTGAGACATTCCACAGATGGATAGTGATGAACTCATTTGTGAGTTCATCACTATCTACTTTTATTAAACGACTTCTTGCTAACAAAAGATCTGTAGGTGCGTTAATTCGTTACGGATATTAATAATAATGATAATTTGAGAAGAAGATATAGTCATAAAATTAGAACAAGGTACACTTTATATAACTAGTACATACTTTATTTTTTTTTTATTATGATATCTCCATGTTGCGTTTTTTTGTTTTACAGATAATAGCAACATAATATTGAATCATTTGAGCAATTCATTTTTACAAGACTAAATGGCGAGAGAAGGTAAGCAAAGTAGTGTTTACATCTCAATTTTTCAATAAGTAGTAAGTATCTCAGGTAAAGACGTGGTTGGTACCTAGCTGATAAGCGCTCGCAGTAAATTTTACCAATGAGATTATTAATTGCTGGAAATAATACATTTTAGAAATTAATAATTTGTAGAGCGTATGTAGTCCGCCATTGGGGTAGTTCGGCTAAACATATCGCCCTCAAACCACCTCGTAAGAGTAAGCCTATGCCCAAAAGTTGGACGTTTGTAGGCTCTTATTTTACTTTACTATTTCTTCGTTTGCTTCACGGTCATATTCTTTATTATGTACATAAATTGTTAAGTTTATTTTTACTAGTAAGGGTGTCCCCCTAATAATACGATATCCGACTCATGGTATGTGGATTAATATACCTATCTTCGATCAAGAATTATAAGGTTATGAGGTTCGGGGAATAAATAACACATCTAGTGACCTCGAATGTAGGTAGTTATTATTTAATGGATCTATCGTACATGCACATTAGCATACGCTACAGAATAAAAATTATCTGCTGTCACCACTGATATATATTCGGACGTATATAGGCTATAACCTTATACAGTTGGTCAACCAGTCTCTTTCGTTAATCGGCAGGTCCGACTCGCTTGGCATAAGAAGTTATTAATTTTTTCTCGAACATCCCCCTCTTACTTCAGTAGCCCATGTGGCAGATATGAATTTGTAAATCTATTGTTAAAGATAGCTCTAGCCTTAAGAATGTTCTCAGCCTTTGTGCTTGTTCACGTTAACTGGCGCGCTGTGGCGAGCGCGGTGATGAAATATCAAACAGCATTATATGCAAGTGTTCACGTACAAAACGCGGGTGCGGTGGAAGTAGCGAGCAAGCTGGCGACTATCGATTACGAGCTCCAGGCGCGCGCGCCATGAATGACCGCGCCAAATGTTCCAAGTGTATCAACTAAACGCGCCTGGCGTTTTTTATGATAAAATCTATTTTTGCTATTCCACAGTAGTTCTTTTGAACCATATAATTTTATCAATTTACGACAATTTTGTTTATCCATAGCTCGGAACACACGAATAATGAAAACAACCGTCCCCACTTGCGCGTGCCAAAAATTAACTACTTTAATGCGCGGTAAAAAACCGACACCAGATGGAGCGGCCCGCTACATGTTTGAGCGTCCCAACGAACAATTTGGCGCTCGTTGCAAAGCGGTATCCCTTTCACGCGGCTGGAGCGCGCGCCAATTTTCGACCTCTTGGAGCGCATAATCGATACGCGGCTTCCCGCACGGAGCGCTCGCGGCAATATCAAACGTTTGAAGTTGTTTGTGTGTGTTCACGTCGAACTAGATGCGGAGCGTGCGATTGACTCGCGACTTCAGGTAAGATCAACAATCTTGAACTCATTATTCCCCTCTGCCAGTTCTCTTTCTTTATTAATTTCATACACACCTACTCAACTTTTTGTCATTTCCCACTTTAGGCAAGAATTTTCGATTAAAAATAAAAGTTCGTCGTCCATGTTCACAACCTCAGACAACACGTCTCACTCGCGCAAACGCCTGGTGGCCAACGTGAACATGAGCTCGCCCAAATAATCGAGTCGACTGCCGCATACGCGCGTTCTACGTGAACAAGCACTAAGTAGTCGAACTATTTGTCGGTCTATGTGTTAGTTATTACTAACATTTATTATCATCAGCAGCATACGCCTCCCACCTGCATCCATCCGTTTCCTTCATGTCCAACCAGGTTTTCACTCATCTCGTGGTACGCCGCCCTATATTTCATTAGGTACTAGCATTGATTAAAAATATTCTATTCAAAACTCGAATCTTAAGTATTTTCATAATTCTGTAGCATATCTTGCTTAATTGATAAGAACCTTATTACTGGTTCCAGCGACAAAGTTGTCCCGCTTGTTGCTGTACAAAGCCGACGCGAGTCCTCCGTCATGCGCTGTGAGGATGCTCGGTGATATCCTTGGACTGCACTTCGACTTTAAGGAGCCTAAACTTCTTGCGATGGAACATAAAACTTCAGAATTTAAAAAGGTTAGCATCTTACGCATGTTGATGTGTTTATGGGCCGCAGAATCCACTCAGCATCATGTGGGCTGTTCGCTGTGACTGTTTATAAAATAAACATATTTATTTAAATTACGAAATCGCCATTCTAGTCCTTTGTTCTAAATTTTATTTTGTTTTCATTGCAGCTAAACCCTATGGCTACTATTCCTGTCTTGCAAGATGGAGACTTTGTCGTTTCTGAGAGGTAAATATTGCTAAGCAAACAATACTCTACAATGTTTCACCTCTGGTCTTGTTTTTAGCTTATTCATTTGTCGTATTTTATACTACAAAGAATTTCATTTGTGAGTTATGAAGCGTTCAAAGTAGCTCTTTTTTTACATGGTGCAGCAATATTATAGTTATAATACGAATAGGTCGGCTCGACTGGAGAAGGACGAACGACTATGCTCTCACAGAATAAAAGCGTAAAATAGCAGGTCAATGCTGCTATGTTTCGTATGGTGAGTGTAAAGAACCGGAGACCCTTTTTACTGGAAACGAAGCATTTCATCTCAGTTATCAGGGGTGAAATCATCATCATCATAATCATCATCAGCCCTTCACAAGTCCACTGCTGAACTTTGGCCTCCCCCAAAGAATGCCACAAAGCACAGTCCTGAGTAAGCCTCCTACAAGGATTGCCACGAAGCACGGTCCCAAGCCACCTGCATCCATTGACTTCCTGCATGTCTTACCAGGTCGTCAGTCCATCTAGTGGGGGGACGCCCTACACTTCGCCTGCCAGGCCGCCACTCGAGAACCTTTCTTGCCCATCGGTTGTCGATTCTTCGAGCTATATGGCCGGCCCATTGCCACTTCAGGTTTCTAATCCGTTGGGCTATGGCGGTCACTCTGGTTCTACTGCGGATATCCTCATTTCTAAGTTTATCACGCAGAGAAACTCCAAGCATAGCCCTCTCCATAGCTCGATGAGCGACCGTGATCTTCCTAATTCGGCCAGCAGCGAAGGGGTGACAACTCATTTGCATTTTGATTCTTAATTGAGGATAAATGTAAATGTTTATGGGCCACTGCATCCACTTACCATCATGTGGACTTTGTGATCGTTTGTCACCCTTATTCTATAAAAGAAAGCTTGAAATGTTTAACACGCTGCCCATGCATCGCCCACTGGTATCCAAACCTAGGTGACACAAAGCAATGTGTCTAGATATTTCTTTCGTTCTTTAATAGTTACATGTAATGAGTGAGGGTAGAAAATAATTAAATTTTATTGATAAAGATAGGAAATAAAGAGATAAAAAGGACTGAAGGTACAACCCTAACTCCGCACCACTCGTTCGAGCGGTATAAAGTACGGCTCAGGCAACAAGCTTGAATAAGTCATTTTACTTTAGTGTAATTATCTTAGTACAAGGAAAGAAGGTCATGTTATGAAAAATCTGTGCTGAATGAGTGTTTTATAACGTAGTCGTTATCGAAAAATATTAATTTATTTCAATAATTTTTGAGAGTACTTTCTAAAGATCTCTCCAAATGCATGCAGCGGGACTTGCGCAACTTCAATACAGCTCGTATTGAAGAAGCGATCAGGCGAAACCAGGGCTCCAAAACTGTCGAAGATGAAGACCGAATGTGGCAGCATCGTTTCCGGGACATCTGAGATTTTGAGTGAGATTGAGAGGTTCTATGGGCAGCTGCACACGTCATCGTTGGAGCCACACGCAAGTGTGAGTAACGATCTAAGAGCAAGTCTTATACGACACTACTCCGATGATATCTCGGACGTCAATCTTAGCGAGATTAGGATGGTTCTCCAGCACCATAAAAACGATAAGTCCCCGGGCGAGGATGGAATTACAGCGGAGCTTCTGAAAGCGGATGGAAAACCGGTACTTGAAGTCCTTCAGAAGCTCTTTAATTCCGTCGTCCGTGTTGGCACTACTCCGGAGGCGTGGAACAGTAGTGCGATGGTCTTGTTCTTCAAGAAAGGCGACTAGGCTCTCTTGAAGAACTACAGACCGATATCCCTTCTGAGCTGCGTCTACGTGCTGTTTTCGAGAGTCATTACGAATCGTTTCGCATGCAGACTCAACGACTTCCAGCCTCCCGAACAAGCTGGTTTCCAAAAAGGCTTTAGCACCATAGACCACATACATACCCTTCGGCAAATTGTACAAAAGTCCGAGGAGTACAATTTGTCGGTATGTATGTGGTACAATCTCTCACTTTGTCTTGCGTATGTGGACTATGAGAAAGCCTTTGATTCCGTCGAAATTTGGGCGGTGCTGCAGTCCCTTCAGCGGTGCCACGGTCGAAGTGCTGACGTGTTGGTACAGTAGGGCTACGATGGCTATTCGAGTACAGAACCAGAGTACGAAACCTATCCAACTGCAGAGAGGTGTAAGACAGGGTGACGTTATATCTCCGAAACTTCACCGCTGCATTGGAAGTCGTTTTCAAGCTACTGGACTGGAAAGGATACGGTGTCAACATCAATGGCGAGTACATCACTCACCTTTGATTTGCCGACGATATAGTCTAAAATGTATAATAGTGTCTCCCAACCTTAAGCTTAGTAGTCTTAAGCTGAACATGGACAAAACAAAGATCATGTTTAATGTCCATGTCACACCTATGCCGATAATTGTTAGGAGCACTAAGCTCGAAATTGTTGACGAGTATGTTTACTCAGGACAAATAGTCCGACTATGTAAGTCCAACTTCGACCAAGAGGTCAATCGACGGGTTCAACTCGGCTGGGCAGCGTTCGGGAGATTACGACGATCTTCTCGTTAGACATACCTCAAAACCTGAAAACGAGATTGTACAATCAGTGCGTGTTGCTAATGTTGACCTATGGATGTGAGACGTGGTTCTTCACTGCTGGCCGTATAAGGACACTCAAGGTAGGTCGCTCAGCGAGCTATGGAGAAGGCTATGCTCGGGGTTTCTCTGCATGATAAGCTTAGAAATGAGGATATCCGTTGTAGAACCAGAGTGACCGACATAGCTCAACGGATTGGTAAGCTGAAGTGGCAATGGGCCGGCCATATAGCTCGAAGAATTGACAACCGATGGGAAAGAAAGGTTCTTGAGTGGTGGCCTGGCAGGTGAAGTGTAGGGAGTCCCCCCACTAGATGGACTGACGACCTGGTAAGACATGCAGGAAGTCAATGGATGCAGGTGGCTTGGGACCGTGCTTCGTGGCATTACTTGGAGGAGGCTTACTTTCAGCAGCGGACTTTTGAAGAGCTGTAATGGTTATGACTTTCTAATATTTTATTTTTAGTCACGCCATAATGCAGTACTTAGTGGGCGAATATGGTGGCGAGATGGGGAAAAGCCTGTACCCGAGGCAACCACGTGCCCGTGCGCTGGTCGACCAGTGCATGTACTTCGACGCAGCCGTCATGTTCCACAGCGTGAAGGCAGTTGCGGTCAGTTATCCAATGAGGGCTATTAATCTTTCATTCACCAGATGTCGCTAATAGAGATGGAGGTGAAGTTTTTGTTTCACGATGTCATTTTTACGTGGTAAAGCCATGTTGCAGCTATATAAATAGTATAGTTGTAGTACGAATGGGTCGGACAGACCGGGGAAGGATCACGCTCTAACAGAATACCTGCGTAAAATAGCAGCTTAACGCTGCTGTGTTCCGTATGGTGCGTGTAGAGAACCGGAGACCCTTTCTACTGGAAAAGAGGCATTCCATCTGTGCACTTACGGGTGATAACGCATTTGCATTTTGATTCTTTATTGAGGATAGATGTAGATGTCTAAGGGTCATAGCAACCACGTACCATCAGGTGGACTGTGTGCTCGTTGGTCACCCTTATCCTATAAAAAAGTTAGTTTATTTATTTCTAATCTAATTTATATAAAATATAATTACTTTTACAAAAAGAAACCCTTACATTTTTCTAGCACATTAACTTTCGCCGTGTAATATTTCATCTTCTTTCTAAGTGTCGCCGCCCTGGTGGCAAAAAAGTCGTGGATACTTTCATTGTCCTATGGTAGTGGAAAATGCCAGAAAATGTTTCCGGTTTTCGATATATGATGGTATAACCATCTCGTTTACGACGGACGAAAACACCCAGACTATCGACGTGTAGCTGCGTGAAAGGTACTAGATGTCTGTTACTACGATTTTCAATCCTGTCAAGTGTGTCGACTAAGACAAATCCTCCCTATAAAAGGAGATACCCATGCTCTTGCTATGCCCTACAATTTCTGCGTGGTAGAGCCACGCTGCAGCTGGGCTTTTAATGGGTTGGCTTCATCGAGGAAGGATCACGCTCTCACAGAATACCAGTACGAAATGTCAGATAATATTATACGGCTTTGCCTCGTATGGTGATTGTAAGGAACCGGACCCTTTTTATTGGTAATAAGGCATTTATCTAAGTCTTCGGGGGTGTCAACGCATCTACATTTTAATTCCTAAGGGAGGATAGATGAAGATGTCTATGAGCCACAGCGTCCACTTACCATCCGGTGGACTGTGTGCCTGTTAATCAACCTTATTTTATATACAAATAAATAACATTGAAGTGTCTGTTTGTAATGTCAAAATAACAGCTTTTTACTAAATGCATATGAAAGTAGATACGATACCTATAACAAAAACATAATTTTTAAATTTTTTGTCTGTCTGTCTGTCTGTTTGTTCCGACTAATCTCCGAAACGGCTGGACTGATTTTGATGGGACTTTCACTGAACGATAGCTGATGTTACCTATAAGGAGTAAGTTAAGCTACTTATATTTTACAAAAAGAATTAGGGTTCCGCGCAACATAATTAAAATCCTTAATTACACGCGGGCGAAGTCGCGGGGAACAGCTAGTTTTATATAAAAAAAGATATTTGAAAAATACAAGAGTCAAGAGATCTTGGAAAAAGCCAGCCGATCTACAAGTACCTACCACAATATGAAGTCGGTTAGCATCTCGGAAAGGTAAACTGGTTACAGAAGAGATTATAGGCATATTGTAAGAGCGTGGTCCTTCCCGATTGAGGCGTCCCATTCGTGTTGCAACTATAATACAGCTGTGCCATATTTAAAAATGTCTGACAATAGATAGGTTGTGTAAGTATCAACATTATCTCGTCTTATTCCACACTGTCCATTTTGAATTATTCTTTACCAATGGTCGACGGGCGTCTCATTATCGTAACGTTATAATTATAATAATTTCTTTAGTATTTTTTTTTATCTTCACAGTTACCAACACTTCTTCATGGTAAAAAAGGTCCGACTTCAGAGGACACCGTTAACATTGATGAGTGCTACGCTGTGTTGGAGGCGTATCTGGAACGCAATAACTACGTAGCCACTGATCAGCTGACCATTGCAGATCTGTCCCTAAGCACCACTACTGCTGCGACGCAGATTATGCATAAATTGGATAACAACAGGTACTACCTACTGTGCGATGCATTTTGTTACTATAGTTCTTGCAATTCACGAATTCCAAGTATCGTGAATTGGCGATGTAAGAGTATCCAGAAACGGAATCAGTAACTTTTTTTATTCAATACTAGCTGTTCCCAGCGACTTCGCCCGCGTGTTATTTGGGGTTTTATTTTTTGCGCGGAATCCTAATTCTTTTCTAAAAAAAAAATTAAAAATAAAAGTGGCCAAGTTACTCCTTGTGACATCAGCTATCTGCCAGTGAAAATCCCGTCAAAATCAGTCCAGCCGTTTCGGAGATTAGCCGGAACAAACAGACAGTCAGACAGACAGATGGACGGACAGACAGACAGACAAAAACTTTAAAAATTGTATTTTTGTTATTAGTACCGTATATAGGTACTTTCATATCCATTTAGTAAAAAGCTGTAATTTTGACATTACAAACAGACACTTCAATTTTATTTATTTGTATATATAAGATCATAAATCATTCTTATTGAAAGTCACTCTTTTGTTTAATTACCACTGGTTCGAAAAAAAAAGCCTCTGTCAAAATGTCAAAACTCCGTGACGTTGTCACGCTCACGCGCCTGCTCGAGCTGACGCGCGCCTTACGTTAACATAAAAATTATTTTCTTTAATAAGTATTTAGGCACTTTTGATATTTATTTTAGAGTTTTTATTCAAGTATGGCCTCTCAAAAAGCCAAAAGGTACTGCATAGCATACGGGAGCTTAAATAACAATAGGAATGTGGACTTTTCATTATTTACTGTTCCTAAGGATACCGAAAGGTAATCTGTTATTATTTATAGGTAGATCTAGATAGTTAGGTACTTAGTTACTGACGCCGTAGTTACAGATTTATTATTTTATTAGTGACCCGACCACAGCTTCGCAATTTTTGATTTTATCGCGTATAATGCCAATGAGCTTAAAAAATTCCTTCAGTGTAACTAGACCTCCCAGTACTAGTGACTGCCTACTAATGCAAGATCAGCATGTACTGGTTTTTAGTTTAACACTTGGTCGATAAAAGAAAGAGATTGAAAGTAACAGCACTTCTCATTGCCACTCTTTTATTAATAATGAAGTCGCGTGTCGCATGTTGGTAAATAGCAAAAAATGTGAAACAGGCAGATGACTGCTACCGTGGCGCAGTCGCTTAGTAATGAGTTGCAGCGCTAAGGGCCGCAGGTTCGAATCCCGGACGGAACAAGTATTTGTATGGCCTACAAATAATCGATCTGTGTCTGTTCTATGTATGTAAACTGTCCCTGCGATACAGGACAAAATCCTAGTGTGAAGGTAACGTTTCTTAAAAAGAGAGAAAGAGAGAACTAATGAAATTAAAAATGTACAACCCATTTCAATATTAATACGCATTATTAAGGGTAAAAAATCTACTGGTCAGATCTTGATCATATTTATATGGGATGTATAAATTATAAGCACCAGTTTTCAAATAAAAATAGAATCATCAAAATCGATTCACCTACAAAAAAAGTTCTGAGGTAACACACATAAAAAAATACAGTACGAATTGAGTACATCCTCCTTTTTTGAAGTAGGTTAAAAATGGTAAGTAGGTACATTCTGAGGGAAAGATGTTCACGTTGTTATAATCTTAGTTTTCCTCGATGTTGCATAATAACCTTCCTCACATGAAACCATAAAGTTTTTATTATTAGAAATTGATGACTCCGTGGCGCAGTGGCATAGTAATGAGTTGCAACGCTGGGGCCGCGGGTTTGAATTCCGCACGGAACAAGTATTTGTATGGCCTACAAATAATTGTTCTGGGTCTAGTTGTTTATCCTTGTGCAATTTATGTTTGTTAACTGCCTCCACGATACAGGAGAAAATCCTAGTGTGGGGGTAAATTTTTTTTAACAGAATGAAAGAAACACAAATACATTGCATAACACCTCGGTGTATTCTACTTTAATACCAACTAATATCAAATAATTCAATTTGTTTTCTCACAAGACCTAACCCTACAGTAGTAGCGGTCTTAACAAAGGCGCGCAACGGTCTAAGTGATACAGACATACGCACGTGGACATAAGGTGCATTTTGATTTAATACGCGTGCCGCATTTTTTTTCGACGATATAAACGGTAGGCTAATTTCACAAAAGTCACTTCCGAGGTGTGAAAACTATTGTGAACATTAGCGACGTTGTAAGTATGTTTAAACTCGCAAGTTTGCTATCATAGAGTGATCTTTCTGTTCTTGAACCATTATTTATTCTGTGGTCCTGGGAAGAATTAGCAAGAAACCCAACGGGACTTTTTTTTAAATAACACTTACAGCTTCAGCTTACAATCATGTATATTACACAATTAACCACACAAAACAAATTAGAAATAGCTTGGTAGCGATCATCCCATTAACAGGGGTTGTTATCATCCATAAATTCCTTAATATTATAACCCTTTTTATATAAACTTTGTTTAATAAAGTTTTTGAACTTTGAGCAGGTCAAATTTTGTATGATTTCTGGGATTTTGTTGTAAAAGATGTATACCATCGCATCAAGAATGAATTACTGACTCGGTGAAGTCGAGTAACTGGTACTACTAGCTTGTGTCTGTTCTTAATATTTACAGAATGAATATCAGTTATTTGTAACTACTTTTATTTTTGTGTACTTACATTACATTTTCATAAATGTATTGAGAGGCCAAAGTTAATATATTAATTTCCTTAAATTTTTGTAGGAACGACTCTTTAGGTTTTAAATCATAGGTTGCTCTTATGGCCCTCCTCTGTAAAACAAGTATAATTTCAGTGTCAGTCGCGTGTCCCCATAGCAAAATACAATACCGCATTATGCTATGGAAATAGCTAAAGTAAACAAGTCTAGCTGTTTCAGCAAGAGTAAGATTTCTTATCGTTTTTACAGCATATACTCCATTGAAGCTTCGCGTCTAGTGTTATTCCAAGGAAAATGGTGGTATCGACAAGACTCAGGTTCTACACATATTACATTATTATTTAAATGTTTGACATTTGGAGTCATAAATTTCATACATTTCGCTTTGTGCCATTTAAATGCAACAACCAATTTACTAATTTAGATAAAGCATTATTAACTTCGTTATATTTTAATAATTGTCGTTTTAATTTGAAAATTAATCAAGTGTCATCAACAAATAATATAATATTATGGTTATCATCTACTATGTAAGGTAAGTCAAGTAATATATACAAAAAACAGAAAGGGGTCAAGAATTGAGCCTTGAGGCACGCCCATTTTTACTATCGACCTGGAAGAGCTCATACTATTAATGACAACTTTTTGCGTTCTGTTACTTAAATATGAAATAATTAACTTAAGAGCAATACTTCTTACACCGTAGTGTTGTAGTTTCCTGATTAATGTTTCATGTGAACACAATTGAAGGCTTTGGATAGGTCACAGAATATACCCAAAGCATCCTGTGAATTCTCCCATGCATTGAAGATATATTTAATTAGCACAACACCAGCATCATTTGTTGAGCAACCGCTTGTGAAACCGAATTATATTAAATAAATAATATGAAGTAAATAATTATTTACATTAAAAAAATTAACATTTGATCAAGAATAATTTTTTCAAAAAATTTACTAAGTGTTGGCAGTACAGAAATTGCTTTAAAATTAGCATGGTCTAATGTACTACCAGATTTAAATAAAGATATTACTTTACTATGCTTCATTGAATCAGGAAACACACCATATTCGGTACTAGTATTAAAAATAATAGCTGGATGAGGCACGTTTATATCTATTATAGACGCAATAACGTTAACGGAAATCCCCCACAAATCTGCAGTTTTCTTAATATCAATAGTTTTAAAATATTTTACAATATCATTTGAGGATATTTTATGAAATGTAAAATTCTTTGTACACGCATTTACATTTTGTTTAAGTAATGATTCGGCGACAGCAGGATACTTATACGTGGTAGAGCCATGCTGCAGCTATATTAATAGTATAGAAGTACCAAGAATGGGTCGGCTCGACCGGGGAAGGACCGCGCTCTCACAGAATACCAGTGTAAAATAGCAGCGTAACACTGCTGTGTTTCGTATGATGAGTGTAGAGAACCGGATACCCTTTTTACTGGAAAAGAGGTATTCCATCTTAGTCCTCACGGATGACAACGCATCTGCATTTTGATTCTTTATTGAGGACAGATGTAGATGTCTATGGGTCATAGCAACCACTTACCGTCAGGACTGTGTGCTCGCTTGCCACCCTATCCTATAAAAAAAATATCAGTAAAATATTTCTCAAAAAACCATTGCAACATCCTGATCTGATTTAGTTAATTTGTTGTTAAAACTTAACCGGTAGTTTAAATTAAAATTAAAACTATGAATACTACTAATTAATACACTACCCCATATCAGCCCTTGGGTGTCGTACGAGGTGACAAAGGAAAACAAATCTAGAGATGGGCAACAGCGTCTTCCTAATAACGACTAAAAATTAATACTTGTTGTTGCTAACCCGCTTGCCAAGCGTGGCAACTATGGCAGATATTACCCCTATGAAGCAATCTATGCGGGAAGTATGTTCAGCGGTGGACTTTAATATACTGTAACGGTAGCAGTATAAAACTACAATTACTTTAATCATAAACATTGTTTGTTTATTAATATTCGGTAATTACTATTAAATAACTTAGTATTAAATAGTTTTTAGTTAGAAATTAGTATTAAATAACTTCATAACATAACATAACAACATGACATACTTCTCATTCGTAATTACAATCTGTCGATATGTTACGTCACACTGTCCCCTCCTCGCTCCGTACAGAGCTTACTTAAATTACCTTATGATAAAAAACATTGTAATTTACAAAAGTTCGGTGTGAATAATTTTAATATAGAAGAATAATAATTATAGGATACATAATATTAGTTAGTTAGTAATATTTGCTAAAAATTTGAGTCAGGTGTCAGTACAGTGAAATATTAGGTCCTTACATATGAAATTAGCGTTTTGTCGTACTGACCACTTTGATCTGAAATATCTCCTCTTTGGTTAAGAATTCCAACTTCAAATTTATAAATTCATTTAGCTGGTACATTTGAGTTTTGAAAACAGTCACTCATTTGTTTTTTCCTCATTATTTTTTTCTTTGGAGTCGCTTATTACCGCACATTGGAAAACATTAAATATTGGTATATTTACTTCAACTCTGATACGGCAGTCCAAACCGCCTTCAAAGAGTTTATTGATTCTCGCCCCCGTGGTTTTTTTTTAGTAAAGGGATCAATGAACTACCTATGAGATGGCAAAAGTGCATAGATAACAACGGTGCATACTTTGATTAATTAAATATATTTTACTACCACACGTTTCCTAGATAACAATTGGAGCCGGAGCACATAACACAATTATTACTCTCTGAAAGCTGTAATCTTCATTTATTAAAAAAAATTGTTGGTCCCTCACACATACATAGAATTAGTACAAAGTCGATATGTATTATTGCAATACATGGTTTATCGATAGTATCTAGTTAGGAGGCAATCGAAATAATTACATAATAAGAAATATAAATCGAAAGAAGTTACCCTTAGCCATGGCGCCACAATCTTCACGATATTTGACATTTGCTGCCAAATTCCATACCTTACATTTTAGTTCCATTAAATAAGAAATCACTAGTCCGTTAAAATATAGTTTTATATCTAGGAAATTATATTAAATACGTAATGCACGAAAACTTTGGGAATATTTCAATATCTCCTGTGCTGTTGATAGCTTCTTTTTTGGAAGTTGTCGCTATAATTGCAGTAAAAATCGACTAGGAGGATATCATCGCATCAAGTAAAACAGCTTTTAACATGAAATAGGGTTTTCTCCTGTATCGTAGTGCCAAATGTTCACATACTGAATAATTATTTGTTGGCCATATAAACACCTGTTCTGTGGGATGCGAACACCGCTACCGTGTTTCATATATTGCATTTTTTTTATAGGATAATAATATTAAGTATAAGCTTTGCCAGTGCGCTTTATCATCTTCCGCTACTTCACCCACATACCGTCAGGTGGTACAGTAATCAAGCACCATTGGTTAGGAATGGGTGAAAATATATGTATTAGTAGAATGAATAGAAATTATTCACCACCGCATATCATCCCGTGAATATTGTAAAAGTCGACAGAGTGAAGTGAAACGGGAATGGGCAGCAGCATCTTTCTGATAACCACTCAAAAATAATAATAAAGAAAATTGCGGCAATATAAAGGCTCAGTAATTGAATTTTGATCGGCTATGATGAATGAATGAATAGTAGAGAAATCTCATTGTAATCAAGTTCCTTTGTAGCTAATGTGGCCTAGACGCCTTAACGAAGTGAGAGGTTTCATTATGGTTCTCTTCATCTCCATGGTGATAAAGAATAGAATACACTTTATGGCGATGATAATGACGCTTACATGAGATAATATAGCGTTTGCTTGAAGCATAGACGAACTGTAATCTGTTACAACTTTTTAATAGCCTCTATCTAGCCTAGGTCTTAAGTGTTCACTTAGTCGGTTTTTATTTTCTGACGACTTTCAAAAAGGAGACGGTACTCAATTCGGCTGTATGTTTTTTTATGTGTGTCACCTCATAACTTTTTACTGGGTGAACCGATTTCGATGATTCTTTTTTTATTTGAAAGCTGATACTTCTCGTGTGGTCCCATATGAATTTTTCAAGGCTTATATTGATCAAGGTCAGACCAATAGTTATTGAGTTATTCTTAATAACTTATATTGAAGTCGGCTGTACAAAATCTTTAATTTTTAATTTTGTTTGTTTAAGGTTTCCACGTACTACAGATTGGCTTGCAAGAATGTCGGAAGAAACCTCATTCAAGAAGGTGGCGGTGCCGGGATTAGCTTTGTTAAAGAAAATGTTGCACGCCCGATGGGAAAGAAATTAAAAATTGTAATAAATGATATTGTATTTTTATTATATTTATATTGTAGTTTATACTTATTTGTAGCAAAAATTTTTCCGCGACTCGCGGTTCTTTTCTCGTTTAAGTTTATTTTTATGGCTTTGTATATGTGTAGTTATTCAAAGGAAACGCAGCCAGCCTTCTCGGCACTATACCGCAGGGATTAGGGTTGTATGATAGGTAATATTAGTTTATAGTATGTAATTTTTTATTATATATTTTTTCATAGGATAGGGGGACAAACGAGCACACAGTCCACCTGATGGTAAGTGGTTGCCGTGGCCCATAGACATCTACATTTATCCTCATATTCGAATCAAAATGCAGATGCAGATACAGATTGTCACCCGTGAGGACTAAGATGGAATGCCTTTTTTCCAGTAAAAGGGTCTCCGGTTCTCTACACTCACCATACGAAACACAGCAGTGTTAAGCTGCTATTTTACGCTGGTATTCTGTGAGAGCGTGGTCCTTCCCCGGTCGAGCCGACCCATTCGTGCTACAACAATACTACTAATATAGCTGCAGCATGGCTCTACCACGTAAAAAGAGTGGCAAACAAGCACACAGTCCAACTCTACGTCTATCCCCGATCTTGCATTAAAATGCAAAACGCATTGTCACCCCTGAGGACTAAGATGGAATGTCCCTCCACTCCCTTAATAACTCTGTCAAAGAATTTTGTCCTGAGAAGGCGTCAAAAAAAAAGATATTTAGATTTGAACCTTTTTAGGTTATGCCTTATGTCGCTTGGAAAAAGTCATACGTCCTGTGGTTGTTTTACGTTAGCTTAATACATTCTCAACATAATGTGCCCTACCTACATAATTGAGAGTTTTTAGATTAATGTATCTCTATTATATATTTGCATACTATAAATGTATATTTCTGACATTGGCTCCAAGGCCTTTGCGTCATACAGTGACACTCTCAGAAGGGCTAGAACCTAGAGTCGTAAAGCCAGTAAAAAAATCATTTACATTTTGTTTTAGCTAGTGTTGCCATAACATTAAATGAAATTGTTACATATTACTATGATTGAGATAATGTATTATTGTAGGAAGTTCTTTATAAGAGACTTCTTTTCAACCATATCACTTTTATTATTATTATTTCGAACGTAAAGTAAAAAATGAATTTGAATAAGAATTACTCATTTAAAATATATTGAGTAAAAAATTATTCTATTCTATTCTATTACTGATGGTATAGTTATTACTAATAATAACTTAATGTAAAATATTTTGTGTTTGTGTGTTGTGTTGAGAGTCTTACAAAGTGTATACGAAAATAGTATGAATATTACTATAATGACAACACTTGAATAGAGTAAAATGATTTAAGTCATTTGATATTCTCTAAAATGTTTGTTTTTTTCTGTGGCTTTAATTAAAATACATTTTTATTTGAAAAATCATAGAAAAATAATAAAACTAATTTTATATATAACTTATTTCTAGACGCAATCATTTTTGTCAAGCTTTAAGCTGGCCCATTATATAAAAAATTATACTGTTTAGGCCAAACAATTAACATTTGAAATTTGCATTCAACACTCGTGTCCTCCCGCTGACTTTGTAAAGGTCACCGTCGCCCCGCTCCCGTGTGGGTCGCTCGGCAGAGGGCGCGAGTGCCGGACGCGAGTGCGAAGACAGTACAGCAGCAATAGTCGATTAGCGTATTTTGTAACCACTGCATCGGTTTCGCGCGACCAGTTTTTTGGTTTTGTGGTCTAAAATTTGAGTCTTTGTGCGCGTTTAATTTACTATTGAATTTGGGTTTCGTGTAGACCGCCTCGAATTAGTTTGTCTAAGTTGTACGTTTCGTGACAAGAGGCTAGTATTGAATTTGTGTGATTAAAGTAATTTCGTTTGTAAGTAATTACGTCAATTTGTATAGTGATTGCATTTTGAAGTGTATGTTGCAATATTTAACTTGCTTGTGTGACGTGGAACCTTGTGCGCACGCCGAGTGGACATATAGTCTGGAATTTGATGCTCGGATTCCATTTCGAGGGCGTGGCCCGGTTAATTGTTTTTGGAAGTCATTGTTTAATTGTACCGTCGCGTTAAGAGCCTTTTGTGTGTTGACTCTGTAGTTAGGTTGTGTGTCAGCTAGGCTGATTTTGAATTCTTATTGCGGCGTAGTATTTAATATCGTACGAAGAAATTTAATTTGTTGTTTGGGAACGCTGAACTTTGAGACTCGAGGAGAGGCCGCGTTGGATCCCGTGTTTGTAAATTTGTGCTACGTGAACCCGGAAGCTTGCATATTGAACTTTGAGCGACTGTTCGTTATTTGTGTCGGGTGTCACGTGTTTGATTTCGATGAACGTTGAATTGGTTGACTTTGAAGTTAATTAAGTGTACAATGGAGTTGATAGACTGAAATAGTGAAATGAAGAAAGAAGTTGTCAATTGATGACGTCCGCTGGAGTGATACCACTTTATGGGGCAGCATCGGACCAGGCCGCTGCCCGATCACCTCAGTTGGGTCAGGTCACATATATAAACACTACTACACACCACTTACATGCACCTACACCTACCTACCGCCTGACCGAGCTTTGGGGCAGTCTTAGCTTCGGAACCAGGTACGTACTATTCATTTACCTAGCCTTATATCTATTGTGTCGAGTAATAAGTCTCCATAGGCCGTTGGGCGCCACACTTAGTTGTCCGTCGAATCTACCGCTGATGGGCCCCGGGATATTTGACCTATGTCGGGACAGCTAGGGGTGTGTACATATACAATATTCCTAAAGTTACATACAAGCCACATATGTGTTGCAATCCCCTTTTATTTTTATTCCTATCTCCTGGCAAGTATGTATGTGTGACCTACACTCTTTAGTGCTGAATACTTTTTCAGAACTCAATGCTACATTATTCGTAATATTTAAATCAATTATATGAAATAGGAGATATTTTTCGGATTTTGATGCATTATTGGTAAAGGTTGCGGGAGCTGACTTTTCTATCCTCAAATGACGTCTCCTAAAATATGCCGCTCGGGCGTTGCCACTAGATTCCGACCGAAGCTTCGGCCAAAATCAGCTGAAATTTTGGCCGTAGCCGAAGTTTTACTTAGATATTTATTAAATTCCGTCAAAGAGGAAAGAATTTTACGAAAAACCTACGCTTTTGTTAGGATATCCGCGAGCGAGATGATTCTCTCGCCATTGTGTGCCTAGTGAACTATAATATACTTTTTAAGAGGTGTATAAGTGAAATCTACGACAGAAGAGATAATGACGAAAATGCCAATAAAATTCTATTTTTAAAATAATATTTATTACATATTATAGGCTGTTTGAATTTGAGTAAGACTGAATTTACCACTAATTCACTAATCATCTTCAGAATCTTAAAAATTGCAGTAACCAAAAAAAAATTGGTGTTTTAGCAGTTCTACAGAATTGTAAAAACTTTTTATTTTTAAAATATTTGAGGACTAAGATGGAATGCCTCTTTGCCAGTAAAAGGGGTCTCCGGTTCTCTACACTCACCATACGAAACACAGCAGTGTTAAGCTGCTATTTTACGCTGGTTTTCTGTTAGAGCGTGGTCCTTCCCCGGTCGAGCCAACCCATTCGTGCTACAACTATACTACTAATATAGCTGCAGCATGGCTCTATCACGTAAAAATAATATGAAGTAAATAATTTACATTAAAAAAATTAACATTTGATCAAGAAGAATAAGTGTTGGCAGTACAGAAATTGCTCTAAAATTAGCATGGTCTAATGTACTACCAGATTTAAATAAAGGTATTACTTTACTATGCTTCATTGAATCAGGAAACACACCATATTCAATACTAGTATTAAAAATAATAGCTGGATGAGGCATTTTTATATCTATTATAGACGCAATATCTTTAACGGAAATCCCCCACAAATCTGCAGTTTTCACTTTTAAAATATTTTACAATATCATTTGAGGATATTTTATGAAATGTAAAATTCTTTGTACACGCATTTACATTTTGTTTAACTAATGATTCGGCGACAGCAGGATACTTATACGCGGTAGAGCCATGCTGCAGCTATATTAATAGTATAGTTGTACCAAGAATGGGTCGGCTCGACCGGGGAAGGACCGCGCTCTCACAGAATACCAGTGTAAAATAGCAGCTTAACATTGCTGTGTTTCGTAGTGTGTGTATCTTAGTCCTCACGGATGACAACGCATCTGCATTTTGATTCTTTATTGAGGACAGATGTTGATGTCTATGGGTCATAGCAACCACTTACCGTCAGGACTGTGTACTCGCTTGCCACCCTATACTATAAAAAAATATCAATAAAATATTTCTCAAAAACCATTGCAACATCCTGATCTGATTTAGTTAATTTGTTGTTAAAACTTAACCGGTAGTTTGAATTAAAATTAAAACTAAGAATACTACTAATTAATACACTACACTACCCCATATCAGCCCTTGGGTGTCGTACGAGGCAACAAAGGGAAACAAATCTAGAGATGGGCAACAGCGTCTTCCTAATAACGACTAAAAATTAATAATTGTTGTTGCCAACCCGCTTGCCAAGCGTGGTAACTATGGCAGATATTACCCCTATGAAGCAATCTATGCGGGAAGTATGTTCAGGTGGACTTTAATATGCTGTAACAGTAGCAGTATAAAACTACAATTACTTTAATCATAAACATTGTTTGTTTATTAATATTCGGTAATTACCTACAACTTCATAACATAACATAACAACATGACATACTTCTCATTCGTAATTACAATCTGTCGATATGTTACGTCACACTGTCCCCTCCTCGCTCCGTACAGAGCTTACTTAAATTACCTTATGATCAAAAACATTGTAATTTACAAAAGTTCGGTGTGAATAATTTTAATGTAAAAGAATAATAATTATGGGATACATAATATTAGTTAATTAGTAATATTTGTTAAAAATTTGAGTCAGGTGTCAATACAGTGAAATATTAGGTCCTTACATATGAAAT